TCCATCTCAGGGAAAAAAAAAAAAAAAAAGGCATATATATCCATATTTCACTGGGCCTTCACAAAGCCCTGCTGGTCAACCCTCGAGAATTGAGGAATCAGAGAACTTAGGAATCGACCTGGAACTGCTTATGTAAGTGAGAATCTTAAGCTAAACGGCCTAGCGGTAAATGCCTTTCCCAGCCTCAGAAGTCTATAGTCAGCAGAAAGCAATAACAGCATCCTCCCTTCCACTCTTCCCTTCAGGCTGGACACATCCCTGTCCCTATAGCCTTTGTACTTGGGCACAGACGCAGGAGACAGAGCACTCAATTTAGAATCCCTGGGCTCACACTGGCTTTCCTACAGACACAGGGGGTCCATGAGGCCCACAGTGACATACACATGTACACAAGGATGCACATGCTGACGCTGATGAGCCCTGGAAGTCAACACAGAAGAACACATGCAGGCACACACACAGCCACAACTCGACCTGCGAGGTCTACAACCCCACAAATGAAGAGAGGTGCATACCATCTCACACAAACTACAACTCTGAGAGAAACACACACACACAGGTCTACAGATTCACCTGAACAAGACGCCATCCATAGTCACCGGCACAAGGCATCTATGCACTATCACACAGAACACAGGCAAGCAGACATAGATGATACTCCCAACCATCCAGTCTATAGCGATGAACTGCAGAGCTACATGCACAGATACACCAGTCATACATTCAGATCTGTGTAGACACAGTGAGGCACACATGTACACATGCTCACTTACACAGAAAGATGCAGACCCAGTTGGGCGTGGTGGCTCAGGCCTGTAATCCCAGCACTTTGGGAGGCCAAGGCAGGTGGATCACGAGGTCAGGAGATCGAGACCATCCTGGCTAACACGGTGAAACCCCGTCTCTACTAAAAATACAAAAATTAGCAGGCCGTGGTGGCGGGCACCTGTAGTCCCAGCTACTCGGGAGGCTGAGGCAGGAGAATGGTGTGGCGGAGCTTGCAGTGAGCCGAGATCACGCCAATGCACTCCAGCCTGGGCGACACAGCGAGACACTGTCTCAAAAAAAAAATAAAAAGAAAGAAAGAAAGAAACATGAGGCAAGAGCAAACACCTACATCTGTAAGATACACAGAGAAACAAACACATACACAAACTTACACACGTAGAAAAAGACTCATACACTGTATAATCAACAGTTCAACACCCCACCAAGGCTCTTGTCCTGGGCTGCTATTAAAATTGGGTGCTGAATACAAAAATTAACTGGGCGTGGTGGTACATGTCTGTAGTCCCAGCTACTCGGGAGGCTGAGGTGGGAGAATAGCTTGAGCTGGAGAGGTTGAGGCTACGGTGAGCTGTGATTGTGCAACTGCACTCCAGCCTGGGCCACAGAGTGAGACACAGTCTCAAAACAAAATCAAACACGGGCGCTGCACTGGGCAAGGGAGGTCTGGGCACAGCTGTGCTGATGTGGGCAGTGGACACAGATGTCAAGCGAGAGCCTGTGGCCAAGCCTAAGCTGCGGTTAAGGTGGGAGGCTGAAGGGTTTGGAATGTGCACCACCCCGCCCCACGCCAGACCACCTCTCAGTAGGAACGTGGCACTGCACTTCGGTGCTGGACTCCTACTTCTGGCTGTGTGACTTGGGACACGTTACCCCACGCACCTGTACCACAACTTCCTCATCTTCCAAATGGAATAATAATGGTGAGCAAACCTCCTTGGGTTGCTGTGAGCATTCTGCCAGAAAAATGTACTCCAAGCTCTTGAAGTAGGCCTGGCATGTGGTTGGTGCTCAGTACATATTCAGTGTTCCTGACGCCGACATCATCACTGTGTTCATGGCACAGCCCTGTGCCGCCAGGGCTGGGCCGCCACCCAGACCTTCCTTTCCCACCCCAAGGGTGAACTGTGGACAGAGCCCCCTGGGAGGGGCTAGGCCAGAGCTCTGCCAACTCTGGGGACCTCCGCCCGTGGGCTTCAGATATGTGGCTTGAGAAAGGGGAGTGGGGGCAGGGCCCCTGGAAAACCCCTCGAGGCCAGGCCCACCACTCCCAATATCCCTAAGACCAGGGACTTGAGTCTTTCCTGCAGACGGATGTGGGCAGGAACCCACTCGACTCCACTTGGGGACGTGGCCGAACTAACAGGACAAATCCCAGTTCCTGGGCACCGCCCTCCCAATATCCTCGCAATTAGACACCCATTCAGCGGCACTGCACTGATCTGCACATCTAGATTCACGGCTACATTCGCCCGCAAGAGCGTGGCGGTTGCCCGAGCTCCCGGCTGTTGGCCCAGGAACTACATTTCCTAGAAGGGTATGCTACATACTCGTTGGCGTCCCGACTCAAGCACCGGCCCGGACTCCCTCTAGGAAATGGAGTCTGACGCCTGCGCGGCGCAAAGGCTCCCGGGAGGTGTAGTTTGCGCCCGTTCTGCGCAGGCGCACTTTCCAGCGGCGGCCGCCTGCTGCTCTTTGTGGCAGTCGCCGTCCTTTTGTGGGAGTTCGGTTTGTCCACTTGCCGGTCCCTCAGACCGTCAGCGGTCTCTGTCCGCCTCGGGACCTATCTGCTGGTCGCTCGGCGTCCGATGGCTCCGGGCCGCGGAACCTTAGGCCTGGCCCTGGTCTCCCAGCGCGGGTTCGCCCGGAGGAGCGTGTGGCGGGGGTGTGCCGGGGCGTGCGTGCGCCGGGCATGGGGCTGAGCCCGGTGTGGGGAGTGAGTATCTGCGGAGCCGGCCTGAGCCCCGCCTCAGCCGGGCGCGGGGAGGGGGCTCCGTGCGTGTGATCGTGCAGCTGTGAGCGCGTGGCCGCCCCGCGAGGCTCCGCTGCAGGCCCCTGAGCCCCAGGAGCAGGAATCACTCCTCTGGGCCTGCCCTGGGTCCTGGAAGGTACAGAGCTGCCCACTCCTCCCGGGGAGGCTGCCGTGGAGGCCATGGAGATCCCTGCCCCGGAGCCCGAGAAGACAGGTACAGCTTCGCTCTTGTAGTCAGCGTGTCTGTGGATTTGCACTTGAGGATATTGACACTCAGAGAGATCAGGCCAGTTTCCCAGAAGCATCCAGCATCTTTTTTTTTTTTTTTTTTTTTTTAATGGAGTCTCACCCTCTCACCTAGGCGGGAGTGCAATGGCTTGATCTACGCTCACTGCAACCTCTGCCTCCCGAGTTCAAGCGATTCTCCCGCCTCAGTCTCCCAAGTAGCTGGGATTGCAGGCGCGCGCCACCACGCCCGGCTAATTTTTGTATTTTTAGTAGAGACGGGGTTTCGCCATGTTGCCCAGGCTGGTCTTGAGCTCAAGCGATCCGCCCGACTCGGTCTCCCAAAGTGCTGGGATTACAGGAGTGAGCTACCGCGCCTGGCCTCCTGCTTCTTTCTTCCCCGTGCCCAACCATTTGTTCCCACTCTGACGTGCTTGATTGGGGGATAGCAGCTCTTTTCTTCATGAATTGGAGTGTCTGAGACACAGGCAGAATTATCCCTCGATGCTATATCAGTTGGTGCTAGCTGTTGGGGTTTGTTCCCCACCTGGCCTTGCTGGCAGGTTTGGCCTCCTCTCTGATTCTCACTTGTGCCACGACAGGTGGGCTTTAAGCTCAGCTGTGAGCCTGGTAGCCGTGGCCTTGACTCATTTCTCCTTCCCCAGCTCTTTCCTCTCAGGATCCTGCTGTTTCCCTGAAAGAGAATCCCGAGGATATATCGGGTTGGGGTCTTCCCGAAGCCAGGTCCAAGGTGAGTGGTTGAGTGTTCTTCCTTCTTTATGAAGAGGGTTGGCACATTTCCTCCCCAGCCCTGGATCATCAGCCTTCCACAGACCTTCACCTGGGTACCTGCTGGCCAGTCCTGAGGAAGCTCTGGGCAGTGGAAACAGCTCCAGTTGAAGAGTCCACATGTTGCCCGAGGTGTGCCTGGAGATGTACTCTATGGAGTGTCTCCTCCAACCCGATTCAGTGGGTCAGTTCCTGGGGATCTCTCTGCCCAGCGCTGTCCTGGGAGCTCTGAGGAGTGGTTTTAGTGGAACCTGAGAAAGTAGGTGATGGCTCACATGGGGTCGCTTTGTCTCTCCACATGCTGGCCAGGGATTGGTGCAGGATGTTTGCAGGGTTGATTTACTGGGATGGAATCGGACAGGAGCAGGTGCAGCAGCTGAGGAAGACCTGGATTGCAGCACTGGGTTAAGAGTGGTGGTAGGGGAGGCATCCCTGTGTGCTTTCCTCTGTGCCTGGCCCCTGGCATGGGGCCTTCATGGAGAGTCCTGGAGATTTATAGAATCTGATGGATCAGCAAGGAATTGGCCCTGGGCACTTCTGCAGCCACGTGGGACCCAGATCCCTCCTTTTACAGACCGTGGACTCTGTTCCTCGTTTTGTTTCTCTAGGGCAACCGCCCTACCTCATGGTAGTATTTAGAAGGGTGCAGTTGACAAAGAGCACAGTAGAGTGAAAGATCTGGAGGGATGAGGGGTCTATGGGTTTTTTTGTTTGGTTGGTTGGTTTTTAGCATTTTGTGATTTTGTCAGTCTGCCACTCAAAAGAGGTGACAGCTGATTATTGACAGCTAGAAACAGCTGTAAAACGTGTATTGTGAGATGTGCCTCACTTCTGTAGTGTGTCACGATGCTTTATAGTTCTCAAGAAACTTGACAGTCAAATGCAATGCATGTTCCTTGATTAGGGTATAGATCAAAAAAAATTGAAAAAGGGCAGTTTGGGACAATTGAGGAAATTTGAAAATGGTCTGTATCTTGGGTCATATTATATCAATAGTAAATTTATTGCGTGTGATAATAGTACTGTGACTATGTAAGAGAATATCCACAGGAGATACAAGTTGAAGACTGTAGAGTGAGACGTCATGATGTCTGCAACTTACATTCAAATGGTTCAGCAAAAAAAAAAAAAGTGTGTGCATGTATGTATGTCTGTATGTGTCTGTGCAGCTCCCTCTAGGTGGTAGGGCCCTTGTGCATGTGTTATTCCTATTTGTAAAATATTTGCTTGTTAGATCCTTGAATAACCAGTTGACTGTCCTGAGTACACATCGCCTTTGGCATTTTCTCTTGACAGTCTCATTCACACTCACAGTTCAAGTTGTTCTGTCTCCTGGGACATCTTGTGTGGTCTGTTCTGACTTCTCTGCTAGTGTCATTACCACATCGGCATCTGATTCCAACACATACTCTCTGGGCTTTATATTCCCTTTCCTGCAGAATGAAGACAGATTAGACATGGGCTTCTCCCAGTGGACCAGAAATACCCACCAAAAAGGCCTGTGCGGGCCTCAGACCCTACCCTACTCTTGCTGGTTGATGCTCCCCACACCGAAGCCATGTAGCCTCTGACAGCCTCACTGGCCAGCACCATATTCTGATACCTTTGGGGCTATTTTTTGTTTTTCTTTCTTTCTTTCTTTTTTTCTTTGAGACAGAGTCTCGCTCTGTCGCCCAGGCTCGGGTGCAGTGGCATGATCATAGCTCACTGCAGCCTTCAACTCCTGGGCTCAAGCAAATCACCCACCTCAGCCTCCTGAGTAGTTGGGACCAAGGTGTGCACCCCCACACCCAGCTTGGAGCTTTGTTTCAGCCCATTTTCTCCTTCCCTCGACTATCATCGTCCTTCATGCCTGCATGCCTCAGTTAGGGGTGTGTTCTCAGCATTTGTCCTCATCTCTACCTCCTCATCTGAAATCCAGTGTTTTGCGGGGTAAGGTTTTATTTAGGTGTAATTTATATACAGCACAACTGTGCAATTTTAAGTATACAATTTGATGAGGTTGAGCAAACATATACATTTGTGTAACCAGCACCACAATCATGATATGGGACATTTCCATGACCCAAAAATGTCCTCATGCCCCTGTGCATTCAGTCCTCTCCCCTCTCCCCTTGGTAACCACTATAGTTTTGCTATAGATTTTCCTCTTTAAGGATTTCATATGGAATTTATACTATGTGGTCTTTTGTCTCTGCTTTACTTCGCTTAGCATATGCTTTTGAGTTTATCCATGTTGTTGTGTGAATCGGTAGTTTGTTCCTTTTCATTGGTGAGTAATATTCCATTTGTATTAGTCTGCTAGGGCTGCCATACAAAGTATGGCAGGAGGGCTTAAACAACAGAAATTAATTTTATTACAATTCAGGAGGCAAGAAGTCTGAGATCAAGGACAGGCATGATGGCTCACGCCCGTAATCCCAGCACTTTG